TTTAATTTGTCATTTTTAGCGAACTATCTAGATTAGCTAAATTAGAAACTGGCATCTCTAATGATATCTTAATGTCTGCTCTACTTATTTATCTAAGTCTCTTCGTGTGTCTCGCGAAACGAAAAACTATCCAAAATTTCGGGCAAATTTACCGCACACACAAAATAGAATAAATCAAATAAAAAAAAAAAATATCCTAAACTCTTGGTCGACACTAGTCTCGCCATTACCATTAGCATTAGAGTAAACTTAGGTATGATCAAATGAACGGGGCACCCAGTGAGGATCAAATTCACTATTAATGACCGATCTATAAATTCAGTTTGTTGATCATTACACCACGGAGAGGCGTCCAATAAGTTTTAGCAATTTTTTTAATTTTATTTTATTTCGTGTGTGTGTGTACGTAAAAAATTCCCCGAACTTTTGGATAGCTTTTTGCATCACGAGATATGCCAACAGACTTAGATATATAAGAAAACCAGATATTAAGATATCATTAGAGATGCCAGTTTCTAATTATGCTAATTTATATAGGTAGCTAAAATTAACAAAAGAAATATAAAGCGAATAGATCGATAGAGTATATATATATATATATATATATATATATATATATATATATATATATATATAAACAAATTATGACAAATTAAAACAAATATAAATTAAGAATGACAAACGAGTAGATATTCAGTTCGAAAAAGTTGATCACTATATATATATATATATATATATAGATATATATATTATTAAAGATTTTTTTTATGTTTTAACGTTATTATTTATAGATACAAGTATTTAAGCAAATGCTCTGTTTATGATAAACAGTATTAAATAACATTTACCGGCCTGAATGTTATTTCGAGAAATTTTCATAAAAAATATTTTCTTTGAAATTTTTGTATCTATAAATAACAACGTTAAACATAAAATGTCTTTAATAAATAAATTGTCGTACCTTGTTCATTTTCTTAAATATATATATATATATATATATATATATATATATATATATATATTGTGTGTTCGGTTAACTTTTCCTTTCTCTTCCCCAATTACTATACAACGCACTTGGTCGGTCATGTGACCCTTAAAAGCCAGTCAATGAAACCCAGCCTGTATACAGAACAATTTTCGGGGTAGACCCTGCAAGAGAAGACGCTTTCTTGATGCCGGATAAAACGAAGAGCCTTCTAAGATGGCGTGCTGGACTTGTGAGTAAAAATAACTTTATAACATCTACTAGCTTTCCTTTTCAGGCTCGGAGAGAAAGTATGTAAGAGATTTAATAACTTTGTTAGCATATTAGCCATCTAGGAAATAATAATAATAATAATAATAAACCTAATTAACATTCTACTGCCTCGTCGTCTTTATTTCTGGGTAGATAACTATCTGACTTTCACAACCAGATACAACCGAGTCCATTCATGCATATATTTGGTAAATGCAACAATAAGACTGTGGATTTTAGAAGTATGTAAAATACGATTGATGCGCTGTACGGGATACTAGCTGGATGCAATTTCATGTGAAAATCTTTACTAAAAATCAATTTTCATCTTCTGAACGACGCCAGTCATTTTGGAGAATATAGAGTTCATGGATAGGAAATATATGGATCGATATGAAAATAATCTGTGAAAAATGATTATGACTTGGATAGCATAGCTCAATCACAAGTGAGATGTCAGCAGCCATATTACTTCGACTTGAGTAATATTAACTGGCTTAACGCTGTCCTTAAACACGTTTAGAGTTCTGCGATCGTTATTTTGCGAGATTATATGAATAAGAAAAATAATTAATGCCATCGAGTTTATTTTATAAACGCTAGTACAGGCATCAATTTTCACTACCAAAGAAAATCAATATAATTCTAGAAAAACATTAAATTTGTCACACACACACACACACATATATATATATATATATATATATATATATATGGTTGGATAGATGTGAGTTTGTGACCCTGGGTTTCACGCTTTAGCGGTCGTCAGACAAACTGATTAATTTTATTAAAAATTTGGGTTTATGTGGATTGCGTGTATTGGTGTTATTGTGAAAGTGGTGGGGGAAACTTTGTCGCTTATGTCATCGTACTAACGCAAACATCGATGTATGCAGACACATATACATACTTGGTCGTCCGTCGGGACTCATACATATATAAACATATGTGGGCAGTTTCGGATATGACATATGTATGTATACGGGTGGTGTTGTGTCTATACATACGCATTTGTATGTTGAAATTTAAAGATTGGAAGTGTGGCGGAAATGTCTCATGAATGTCTCGTGAATGTATACATGTCATATTATTTATTTTTCCGCTGAATAATATTTCCTCACATGTATGTATATACGTGTGGTGGTGTTTGTGTAAAATTATGATAGGTAAAAATTATTATTATTTATATTTATTTTTAAATTTTTGAAAAAAAAATGGGGGTTTATTTGTTATATTTAATGCTGGTTATTTGTTTGTTTTTGGTGACTGTGTATATGTAACAGGTAGATTAATATTCTTTCTTTTTTATTATTATTATTTAATAATAATAAAAACGAAAGAATATTAATCTACAACTCAATTAATAATAAAAACGAAAGAATATTAATCTACAACTCAGTGTGTCTGAAGATGTTAATTTTCAATATTTTTATTGTTCAAATATATATATATATATATATATATATATATATATATATATATCATTTCACCCCAAACAAGGGGGAATGCTACTAGTTCGGAAGGAGTTGCAGGGAGTGAAAAAGGAGTCTGAGAATAGGGCGAATTGAGGAAACGACAAAAGATGAAGAAGATTGAAGAAGACAGAAGATGGCAATTGATCTTGCATTTAAATTTTTAAAGATTGTAGTTATCATGGGAGTTAATAAACGGAAGGAATTTCCACAGGTGGGAAGTGCGAGAGAATAAACTGTTGGAGTAGAAGCGATGTTGCATTTACCTATTTGAACAGTAGAAGGTGAGACATAGGTACCAGTCTACTAGCACGCTTGAATTCATAAAGTTGGATAACAGGGGGAAAAAAAAGCTCGGACGAATGGTAGATTTATAAATATGCCAGATAGATTCTGACGAGAAAAAACTTCTGGTACGATATAATGACCCAACTTTCCTTGCAGTAGATGCAGTTATTAATTCGATGGAGTCGCGTCAATTCGAGTCAGTGAAAAACGTGAAGCAAAGAAGGTGTTGTCTCATGGAGTCTGGCGTCACCTTGATGGTAGACAGAAAAGGTTCTCTATGGCGGTTAAATGAAAGTAGTTTTGTTTGGAAGCCTTAAAATTTACAAGCCATTTCTTGTAGCAGTTAACCATTGATTGGAGGACCTTTACAAGAGAAGCTGATAGGTTTATTTTGTCAGATCTGACGGATTTGCTATTGAGACGGATAAATGGTAATGTCATCTGCAGAAATGCTTAGTTTTTAAATGATAACATCAGGAAGATCATTGATGAAGATCAGAAACAGCGTAGGACTTAGAATGGAGACTTGGAGGACATCCGCGTTTGTGGGAATTGATCCGGAAGCGAGCTCGTTTAAAACGATCTACATTTCAGGATTTTATAGGAAGGATTGGATTAAATCAAACATTCGTCCTGTGACACCGTAGTCCTAGAGCCTGCGTAGAATTCCAGCATGCCAAACTCTATCAATCACCATCGAGATATCTAGAGCCACAAATTGGGCTTCGCTGTTCCCATCTAGAGCTTGATATAAATATTCAGTGATGTTCGTTAACACATCAGCGGTATACCTAACAGAGATCATATTGATGCCGTAAGAAATAAGATGCTTAACCACTTCATCATTAATCAGAGCCTCGAATACTTTGCCAAAACCAGTAAGAGACTAATAGGGAGATAATTTGAGGAATCAATGGGTTCTCCAGAATCCTTAAAAATAAGAACTACAGACGAGGACATCCGACAAGCTGGGAAACAGGAAGCAATGAGGCAAATGTTGCAGAGTTTGGAATAAACTGGAGCCAGATTGGGAGCACATTTCTTTAGGGTGATAGGTGGGATCCCTTCAGATCTGCTTGCCTTTCTGAGAGTTTAGTTTGGAAATTATGTCTAAAACCAATGACGGGGTTATGCGCATATCACTCAGTAAAGTCTCCGTTCTATTTGAGAAATCAGAGGAGTCGACTATACACACTCACAACACACACACAGACATATATATATATATATATATATATATATATATATATATATATATGTGTGTGTGTGTGTGTGTGTGTGTGTGTGTGTGTGTAATCATTTCTACCTAAGAATAGAGATAAACTCATTGAGTCTAAAGGTTTACTAAGAGTGAAGGAAACAAAAATTGTTACTGTCGAGGGCGGACAATAAAATCAACAGGATTTAAGGAGACAGAAAATGGCGGTTGACGTTGCATTTATATTTTTTAGAGTGTAGAAAAAGAAATGTATTTGTGTAAAGTTAAGATGGTTGACGTTCTCGGCTCAGCTATCTTTCGTTCTGAACTGCTACCATTGCAATACTGGCACATACGAATATATATATATATATGTGTGTGTGTGTGTGTGCGCGCGCACGCGAGTATAAAACAAACAAACAAACTAACACTTTCTTGTTTCTGGCGGTTGGATCTGATAAGGTAATCTAATTTTATTGTCCTTATTCTTCCTTCAAAAAGACCAATGCATTTTCTTTACACACAGTATAGTTTTTAATTCTGACCTGAAGAAGCCAGACACAATACACGTCACGTCGGTTTATAAGCGATTCCACACTAACTGGTTTCGTCTTAACCACATACAATCCGTCACCGGTAGGATTCTACCCTCACGGGATTCAAACTCAGTTCGAAGAGTCAGAGTTGTGACCAGCAGAATAAAGACTACCATTCTGCGCCGGGCCATGCATTCTACAGCACTCACTACGTCATTCTCATAAATGATTGACTGAGCACCGGATTATTTAGGCCGACTACTGACCAACTACTGATAGATAGATAGATACATAGATAGATAGATAGATATGAATGAAACTGAAATAGATGAACAGATTGAGATATATATGAACAGATTAAAATAGATAGATAGATAGATAGATAGATAGATAGATAGATAGATAGATAGATATGAATGAATGAAACTGAAATAGATGAACAGATTGAGATATATATGAACAGATTAAAATAGATAGATAGATAAATATAGAGGAGTAAACTGATAGATAGATAGATAGAAACAGCATATAGATAGATAGAAACTAGGGTGAAAACAAATATCAATACAAACATATATAGATGTGAGCAAAATTGTAGAAGACTAAGTAATTAATATTTTTTTACCCTACCTCATTTCTTATTACAATAAACGTTATATACAATGGATGCACTTGTTATATTAGACATCTCTTTTTTAAAGAGCGAGATTAATATTTACTGGCACAATATGGCTTCCGATAAGAATCGGACCTGTATACACATTTTCAATAAGAGACACAACTATTAAGATAAGCATCCTTTACTACGAGAAGCTATCACAATAGTAAATCGTCCACGAGAAGTTATCACAATAGTAAATTGAGCCGTACTTAATCTGATGGATTCTTCTGGCGAAACACTTAGCTTAAAAGTAGGAATGCTCACAGATGTTCCCAGATTCGCGATACCTAAGGTTTAACGTGTTCTTATAATTCAAAATGGAAATACAGTTTCGATTCCTGTATAGGGGTACCTTCCGTAGGGCCCTCGATCTCTGGGCCGATAGACATTAATTTCAAAGTTTAAAAATATGAATGTCTACTCAAACACATGTACTCACGAAATATAACGTTTATATTGATAAAAGACGATTACAATTTACTTATAGAAGAAACAAAACTGTATAACTGAAAACTTAGTTACTGGAGTTCTTAAGGCTTTAAATTTAGAATCGAACACAGAATTCTGATACTAGGATCAAATTTGCTTCCATTAGGCTACTTGAAAAAGATAAGTAAATTAAAATAGTGATGTATCTGTGTGAATTTCAAAAATGATATGTCTGTAACAAAAACTGAAGTTGTAAATATGTGTGTGACGGGAGAATGTTTTGAAAAGTTGATAAAGAAACAGAGATACATTTGCAAAGTTTGAAAAGCACACCAAAATATACACTTTTAGATTATCAGTATTTCATTATTAAATCAAAAATGCGCTGTGGATTTTGTTCTTCTGCCAAAGTTTATTGATTAGTTCCAAGTTGGTTTTGGCTTCAGATTAATCCTTTCTGTTTTTACACGAGAAATATGAAATCTACAATTTCTGTTGCATTTTTCATTTTACTTTTAATACAGCATTGCAATGTTGCTGAAAATGTTGATATTTTATTTATTTTTACAGTTCTAATTAAATGTATAAACACGTCTATGTGTACATGAATGTATGTAAGATAATAACACACACACACACACACACACACATATATATATATATATATATATATATATATATATATACATATAGGTAATTGAACAATGAAAAGTTAGCACTAAGAGTGACAGTCTGGGGATTTTGATGGGCGTGGTTTGTTAATTTGTTTATTATTTACTTAGTTTATTTACTTATTTTTTTTGTGTGGATTAATTTATTATATTTGTCTTTGTTTTATTTTATCTATTTATTTTTTATTCTTCTTCCTTTTCAGTTTTTGAAGCACGACGAGAAAGATTCTGAAGTCGGAATTTTCGGACACGACTGTGTGCTTTTTTCAAGGAGACCAGGAAGAAACACTTGTTGTATTCCATATTAGACCGAGCGATAGTGTGTACGATACTCAAAACACCTGCTTCACTCATGCAGGCCTTCCTGCATATATATATATATAATAAGTTATATATAATAATAAATAAATAATAAATCATATATATATATATATATATATATATATATATATATATATATATATATATATATATAAAGCAAAAAATGTGATAGAGGAAACTCTTGGTATAGAACTTATGGTTGCATCTATCCATTTCAACTGTAAAATGATGAGAGCCTGCCACCAATTTAGTGCTGCGTTTAATTTCATAAAGTCTTGGTAGCATAGAGGAAAGTTCGTCAGAACAATTACCATGAACGTATTTATTGTTTTTGGAAAATACACAGGAAAGTTACATTACGCCGCTGAGAAATGGACTGAAGCCGAAATGCCAGGTCATGACCAACAACATTGCAGATTCTTCTTTAGATTTTACTTTGAATATTTGTTGTGTAAAATATTTAGTGTGAACTCCAGATTTATAATGATTCATGATTGGCCCTTAAATGGAATAGGTTACGTTTTTAGTTATCGAGAAAGTACGGTTGTGCCTTTTCCTTAAACTAGAAGTTCTTGGGAAAACAGCTAAGTGGAACTTCCTCTCTAAAATTGAAATATCGAGTAACTGAGCATGTTTCCACCCTGGAAGTACCAGAGCGAATCTTCTCTCTATTAGTCTGAACTGGTACAACTAAAGAATGGAACATTTTTCATATAAGTAACGATAGAATAGCGATATGTCTGCGACGCTGCGCCTGTGGAAAAATGGCTGCCGAGTGGAAAATAAGTCATCCTTTTCAAGACTGCGTAAACGATTCTGAATTCTATCAAGACTGTAAAATTATGATTATATAGTTTCATGCTTGATATGGCAGCAATAGAAAATTATACAATGAACCTTCTTTTCCTTAAACGCATCACGATCATCAGTTATTAATTTTCATCTAAAAAGATCGCTTTTCTAAAAACCTTCTCAAGCCCTCATCATCAGTATCAAAATAGTTAATAGGTAGTCTTTTTTTTCCTGATTTCTATTATATCTTCTATGTCATGCCTCTTCAGAACGTTAGCAATGGTGCTTCTCAAAAATTTCATGGCCTTCGTATGTCTTAATAAATTTTGTCTTTTTGTTATCTTTCTTAAACCCTGTTCGGCTATCTATTTACTCATGCTCTCTAGGTAGGTTATACAATATTTTCCTCCGCCAGTTTTGATCTTTTTTTTATCTCTTTGTCTATTAACAAATTTCCCAAGATCTCTTTCTTCATCATGTACAATAGAAATGTCAACTGTCTCTTTCCGATGTGATGTCTAAGTGTCAGTTTTCTTTTCATTTTCTCTAAAACTTCGTCGTTGCTCGCCTGCTCAGTCCATAATATTCTCAGCATCCTTCAGTAGAACCAAATTTCTGTTGTGTTATGTCTCTTCTTCATCTGCAAGGAGATTGCTCAGCATTCACTGCCGTATAGGATAAGTGATATTACGTCAGAGTTCAGTACTATTTTCTTTGTTTCTAACAACAATTTCCTTTTCTTAATACTTTGCTTAGCTTTTGGAAGGCATCTTTCGCTATGCCAATGCACATTCGGATTTTCGTTTTGTACATACCATCCTCTGTTAAAACACTTCCCAGATATTTAAATGGCAGTACTTGTTTGATTTTAGCATCTCCAATTTGTAATTTGAGTTTGTCTAACATTGCCTTTCAGTTTCGTTTCTGAGTTTTCTATAAGCGGAATGAAGAAAGTAATCGGAATAATTTATTGCATACCGTTTAGAAATTATCTGTCGTATTGCCAGCTGCCTGCTGCTTGCTATATTGCATGTTTTATTTATCAGTCACTGCATGAGGGCAAATTTGAGATAGGGTCAGATTAATGCTCTCAGCAGCACACGTACGAGGAATTAGAAGCATAAACAACTGAATCCCCGTCGGCATTTACTGTTAGGACGCTCCAGGGATCATGACTTGACCCTAATCCTCCTAATTTAAGTTTAACGGAAGATGTATGTATGTATGTTTATGAATGCATGGCTGAGTGGTGAGAATGTTTGCTTTTCGAAGATGAAAGCCGGGCTCAAATCATGGTAAGGAAGATGAGAAAGGCGATGTCAGCGTACGACATCTTTGTAAAACATACCTCAGCCTTGTGAGTGAAATCAGGTAGACGGAACTGTTCGGAGACCGTCAATAATTGTGTTAGCACGAAACCACGAGATTTGGGGAGTATTGCCTTTGTTTAAACTGTTCCTCATGCTAGATTATGCGCGGAAACTAATGTCCGATCAGTATATTTGCAGTATATACTACAGTTGCGCTCAGTAGGTCTTAAAGGTCCCAAAGCGGGGCAATAAAGCCGCTAAGATGCAAGGGATTACTGAGTGTCAGAGAAGATGAGAAAAGTATTATTAATGAGAGAGAACGATAAAAGAACAAGAATTAAGACGACAGCAAATAACTATTAACATTGGATTAAAATTTTTGAAGATCAAAGTTGACTGGGAAGCAAGAAGCCGGAAAAAAGTTCCATAAGCAATAAGTGCGATAGAAGAAACTGTTGGCATAGAACTTACGGTTACATCTTGCCATTTCAACTGTAAACTGACGAGACCTTCTCGCCAATCTAGTACTGCGCTTAAATTCATAAAGTCTTGGTAACATAGAGGAAAGGTCATCAGAACAATTATCATGAAAGTATTTATGAAAAAAGGCACAGGGAAGCTACATTACGATGATAGGAAAGTCACTGAATCCGAAATGCCAGGTCAGGACCAATAACATTGCAGATTAACATATATATATATATATATATATATATATATATATATATATATATATGTATATATATATAAATGTCCGTTTATATACACGCCTGTTATCCGTGTTTATTAGTTTTTTTTCTTTTTTTTTTTGTGTGTGTGTGTGTGTGTGTGTGTGTGTGTGTGTGTGTGTGTGTGTGTGTGTGTGTGTCCTAAGTTCAGTTGAGTTCACTTCCTTTTTAATGTTGGTAAACATTAGAATCGGAAAGAAGCAGTTTCATTTTTATAGGAGAGAACGTTTGGAGAAATTGGCATTCCCAGGATCATTTACATAAGCAGTTTCCCTTTGTCCTGTGAATGATAGTCTCCAAATGTTCACTCCAAAACTGTTTAAACCGTTTCCTTTGGATTCCAAGGATAAGTGTCCATTTGCTTTCCATTTTCTGTACTGCGGAAAGGCAATTAATAACGTTCTTCTGAATAACCCCATCTCTGGCGTCTAAAATATCCACTTCATCTCCGAGGAAATTGCCCAGCATTCATTGTTATGTTTTTCATTGATTGACTGGTTTGTTTATCTAAATGCATATTAACACATTTATGGGTCATTTGATGTCGAAATTTAATTTTCTTTGAATCTTTGAAGTAATAAATATATGGCATATGTTATTCTGCTTTCACAATTGAATACATGGTAGATAAAACTCAGCTTTGGTGCTGATAATTGTTTGTCTGGACATAATTATTAGAGGCGGTGATGCGTGTATTTTGTGTTGTAGTTTTGTTGAAGTTATATTTTGGAATACAGTTTGAGGTAAGAAATTGTATGATGTAAGCGTTAATGTTATGAAAAAATTCTTTCGTGTTGGTAATCCTACTATAAATAGGTATTGTTGGTAATTTTTTTATATAAAAGTGTATTACTGGTATTTTACTATAAAAATGTAATTTTATACTTTCATTATGTTTTGTTATTCTTTGAGAGTTCACTATTTATCCCTAACTAGTACCCCTAACAGGTGCTACCACCCTGTCTAAGGGTTGGAACAGGGACTAATTACAATTAAGAGATGGTTCCATGTTCCTCAAAACCTCCAATCTCCAGGTTAGAAGACGGATATAGTTTATTGTCATACCTAGGACAACATTGCTATATAGGAGGGTTGTTATTATATAGCAGTTCAGCTGTCTTTTTTGATTCTAACAAAATCTACTTGCTTCTTAATACCTAGTTTAGCTTTGGAAGATTATACTGCATTCTAATTTTTTTTTATTGTAAGCCAAAGAAGGTGGAGAGATATCATATATTGAAAATGTCTTCATTTATTAACTCAGAAAATAAATTCCGATGGATATAAAAATATTTCTAAACTGGTTAATTTTCAAAAAATTTTTAATACGAATCAAACTTTGGCTTAGACGTTTGAAAGCATGCCAAGTTTAATAATGGTTTTCTCCTACAAGTAGACGCAGGTTCGAATCCTGCCTGTAAGAACATTTTCTTTATTAATACCCTTAAATATATAGGTCAGTATATTTAAATTTACACGGCTAAAAACTGGAATGTCGACTCAAACACGTGCATCTATTCAATAGTGGGATGGCCAAAAAATTCGTTCGTTAATTAAGTAGAATATTTATGTAATAAACCGAACAAACTTTTTGTTCAATATAACATTTCAAATAATAAGAAGTAATGCCTGATGATAAAAAAAAAATCCATTAATTCCTTAGAAATTACTTTGTTTACGTTTCGGATACGAAAATGAATTTAGCAGATATAGGTTTCGAGGGATCCGAATAAAAAATGTGCATTTCTTAAATAGGGTAATTAAACTTTGCTTGACTGGAAATGTTTTCGTGGCTAAGCAGTCTAAAAGAAAGCCGTGCTTATCGGCGATTTCCCCTACAAAGTGGACGCAGATTCGATTCTACCAGAAAGCACATTTATTTAGTCTCTAGACATGGATTTATATTGTTTAAAAAAAAACACATAAGAACGAGAATGTCAATTCAAAGTCATGATCCACTAATTTAACGTTTAAAGTATACGAAATATGCGTATATCTAGACATGAAATTCAACTTAAAGTCTACCGAAGAAACAGCGTCTTCAGAATCAGTCCACATTTCGGAGATGAGGTATTATGTACACTATTTACATTATTCGAACTATTGTCCTCATCTTTGTTAGCATAATTATCGCATCGTTTTGGCCGTTGTACTCACCGGCCTTCTTCAGATAGTTGGAATGTTAAACAGAAACCTTTTTTTAGCTCGCTGGGGTGGACTGTTCTAGTTCTACGTGCCATGTCTAATGGATGTCAGTTATCAGTTATCTCCTGTTAATTCCCCATTCCAAGTTCTCCACCGCCTTAACCAGATATTGAACTCACACTCTTTCGGTATTGTCACTGGATCTAACTAACGCCTTTATCCACTGTAATGTAATATGGCAACAAAGACGAGGACAATAGTCCGAATAATGGTAGTGGTAAATAGTGTTGCGTTTTCTTGTATGCAAAAAATAGATTTCACTTTTTGGATATAGTGTAAGTATAGCTTGTCTAATTTATTGTTATCCACTGTGACTTTATCCACTGTGCCAAAGACGTTGGTTAGATCCAGTGACAAGACCCAAAGAGTTGTGAGTTCAATACTTGGTTAAGGCAGTGGAGAACTTGGAGAGGTGAATTAATAAGAGGATAACTGATAACTGACATCCATTAGACATGGCATGTGGAACTAGAACAGTCTATCCCAATGAGAGAAATAAAGGGTTCAGTTCGGCATTCTAACCACCTGAAGAAGGCCGGAGCATACAACGGCCGAAACGTTGTGATAAATATGGCAACAAAGATGAGGACAATAGCCCGAATAATATAGATAGTAAACAACGTCTTGTTTAACCCCGGAAGAGATTGAATAAACCTCGGAAAGATATCAACAGAAGATTGCAACTTTAAAAGGCGAAATATTAATCTCCTACAAAGAGATTTTTTTCCAGTAGACTGAATGCCTAATTTTCTTACCAAAACATTCTTAGATGATTTCTCTGAACAACAAATAGGCGTACGTAAAAGTTTCTTCAGAAGAATATTTCGTAAATCTCGAAAATCAGTCTGCAAACAGAATAATCACATATGGATTATATTAGTAACGAAGTGGAAAATGATAACATCATCAAATAAATAAAACCGGGAATAGAGTCATAAATAAATTAACATGTTTATGCAGATGTGCCTCCACGTAAAACCTGACGATAAATAAATATCGATAGAAAAATAAAAGGCTAGATTGATAACTACATACTTATTTACTCGAATTTAAAAAAAAATAAATAGACTATATTTCGAGCAATACCATCGCTTGAGCTATCTTTAAATATGGAGAACGTAAATGTGGCTTTTTAGTCTTACATTTTCTTGCACAAATGTGGCAACGTCGGTCCTCATTTAGTAGTTGTTACATAAATGCCGCATAATGTACACTGTTTGGAAAGTCTTTGACGATTTTAGACCTATCTTATTTAGAAGGGACTACATTCATTACACGTTAGACGAAATTTTGTGGCAATATTTTCAAGCAAATTAGCATCTAGGCCGTTACGTTTCTTGACTTTTTCATGTGCAATACGGTTCTGTTCAATGTCTCGCTTACAAATTGATACTGTTTTTCATTCTAGATACCACTCTTTTTGCATGATGCTGGTTTTATTCAATGTATTCTTCATTCAATCTTTATACGTCAATATCGGCTTGTGCTCTGCTCTTATAGAAACTGTTTAGGCATCGTACGGAAACTGTTTGTACATATATATTGGTTCTTGTTGTTTCTTTATATTTCTTTACGTAGACTCATATCCAGAGTCTGCTATGATTGTTGTGGATATTTTTATCTCTCACCTCATACACCGGCCCCGTGTTCTAAGATTTCAACGTCACTCATAGATAGATAGATAGATAGATAGATAGATAGATAGATAGATAGATAGATAGATAGATAGTGATCAGACTCTCATAGATAGATAGATAATGATCAGACTCTCATAGATAGATAGATAGATAGATAGATAATGAACAGACTGGGATAGATAGATAGATAGATAGATAGATAGATAGATAGATAGATAGATAGATAGATAGATAGATAGATAATGAACAGACTGGGATAGATAGATAGATAGATAGATAGATAGATAGATAGATAGATAGATAGATAGATAGTGATCAGACTCTCATGGATAGATAGATAATGATCAGACTCTCATAGATAGATAGATAATGATCAGACTCTCATAGATAGATAGATAGATAATGAACAGACTGGGATAGATAGATAGATAGATAGATAGATAGATAGATAGATAGATAGATAGATAGATAGATAGATAGATAGTGATCAGACTCTCATAGATAGATAGATAATGATCAGACTCTCATAGATAGATAGATAGATAGATAGATAGATAATGTACAGACTGGGATAGATATAGATAGATAGATAGATAGATAGATAGATAGATAGATAGATAGATAGATAGATAGATCAAATCCTCGGATAAATCTTTATTGAAAATATTCGGAAAATCTTAGAAGCGTTGATAGAAATTGACACAGAACTGCATTGCTCGTACCGGAATAATCTTTAAAATTGATTTCAGAAATGTAATAATTTTTTATTTATTTCGATGAAAATTATGGTTTTATATAAATTGCATATTCCGCATCGTTTATATGTCTTCACGCGTAATTTACAATTTAATTTCGCATTTTAATTCAATTTTCATGTGCAATGTTTACTCTGTTTATATAACTTCATGTTTCATTTGGGAAAAATTACAGGAGGCGTGACGGGTCTGTAAAGCTTCTGATAATATATGAAATAGAAACAAACACACTTGAGAAATGGTTTGCCAAGTTGAAACGGATTTTAAGCTCAGGGACAAATATCATTCGACAAGAGCTGGTGACTTGAAGACTGATGAATTAAAACAGGAAGAAAGATACCGTTCAAAAAATACGTCAACATGCTGAAAAATAAGACGAGACTTAGCCTGTTAGAATGAAACATAAGAAGAGAAAATATCTTTATCTGAACAAGGAAGTCGGCTGATGATTTTGTTCTTTTAAAATCCTTTGTTTTAAATTTATTTAAATTATTTATTTATATGTATGCTATGTATGGTTCTAAACTCGTTCAGAGATATTTAAACTCTCACTTGTATACAAACGTTTTCTCGGGTCAATGGTTAAAATGGCTTCGCACAAATGAAGGCTTCAGGTCTTAGAGAGGAACATCCTTCTTCGAATTATGTGGACTGACGCTAAAGAATCGCAAAGGACTCTACTAAATAACAAAAACTACATCTCTGGGTGATTTTCAATAGCAGCAAAAACTAAAATTGATAGCACATGTAAAAGAAAATATTGATATAAAGTAGACATTGAAATCCAACGGCACTGCAAACAAAAAGAAAGGAAGCCAACCATCACTACTGGAAAGAGCGATAACAGATAGTGGATTTAAGAAATTAATTTACTTGAAAAATTGTTTTAATAGAAAGATTTTATAAATTTCAACTAAAAGTAACACTGGTTGCTCAGTTAATGTTATAGTGGTACACACATATTCTATAGTTGATAGACCCTACCACCTATAATAAGTAGGAGTAGTAAGAGGCAGTCGGTCAATCAGTCGACTGGCTGATCGGTTGAACTCTCTGCCCTCGGGCGGGGAGGAACCCGAAAGAAGCTACGCCGAAGGGCGGATTTCTTTCGGTAGTGTACACCGACCCTGAACCCGTTTATACGGGTTCAATGGGCATATTTTTGGCCGATCCCACGGGCTCGGAGATCCCACGTTAAAAAGGCCTTGTGCCACATAACACCCTCGTGGGGGGGGGGTCTGAATATCGTCAGTCGATGCTGGACGACAGTTAGTCGAATACTAAACTATCAGCGACCACAACTAGATTACTCTGCGTTATACCTATTATATCAAGTTCCTAACGTTTTGTACGTCGAACCTATTTTAGGGCCGACTTAGTACAAATACAAGCCTCCACTGTGAAATCACTCCACAACAGTTAATGAATTCTGAATGTTTCTTTTTAAGGAAACGGCTAACATCATCGTTACCATAGATTTGAAAAAGACAATTCTTCCCTGTCTGGTGTATCTTTAGACCTGTTACCAACAGATTACCATTTATTTTACTCCATGTAACATTCTGCCTAGTCTGTCGTTCCAACAGTTTAATATGGATAAAACACACAAAGTATTAATCAAATTCTAAACTGGAATCGTATTTTTATGACAAAATTTTAAATTTACTTGGCAAGTGACGTAAAGTCATCAAAAACAAAATAAATACTAGGGTTACTTACTAATAATGCGATCTGATTTATATGAAAATAAAGAAGAAAGAAGAACAGGAAAGGTCTTAAGGTGATGGCGGGGAATGAAATTTAAAAGGGGGAAGTTTTAAGGAGAGAATTTAAATAACGGTTTAAATGAGTGAGATACAGACAAAGATGAGTTATTATCAGATGCATCAAATCACTACCGATTTGTTGACCTAAAATTAAAAAAAAAAAAACAGACACTGTTCTTCTTTCTTTGATTACACCTCTCCCTAGAGCTTTCATACATTTCCCTCTCACCCTTGTTTCTCACTCCCACACATACACCCTCACTGAAATTTTCTTTTTTATACCCGGAGTTATATTTGTTACGGTTTTTTGGGTATATTGTATATATAACTAGTGAGCGAGTCAGAATGACTTATTTCCCTTTATAGTCGACCAATAGAAGGTTGACAATCAGAAGCCGCACAACACTGTATTCGTCGTGTATAAAGGCGGCCATCTTGTTTCCTCTATCGGAAGGACAAAAGTCGACCAGGAGAAGGATGAACTACACTCTGCTGCGATATCCACTGCGAACCTGCACTACGCTTTCCTACTGTCTCCGAAATATTCACTACCAACCTCTGGATTCTATACTCGAGGACGAACGTCATGAAAATGTCTAACAATATTTTCTGTTTTTTTTTGTTTTTTTTTTAATTTGTAGGCTTGATGAATTGGATCGTGATTACGATTCCAATGTAATTATAACCATGGAATATTAGTATTTGATCCATTTATATTATATTCCTGCACTGTCTTGGGCATTGAGCTCTACCTGAATTCTGTCTCTTGGAAATTTATATATATATATATATATATTGACCACTAATATTATCAATTTACACACACACACATATATATATATATATATATATATATATATATATATATATATATATATAATTATTTATTTAAAAATATGATTCCAAATCGCAACACAAGAAGTCCCATGTTTCAAAAACAAGAGCCAAAAACTTCAATATAATTATTTAAATTAAATTGAGCCAAAATATGCTCTGTTCCATCTTCAAGCGAAATTTTTGGCTCAATTTAATTTAAATAATTATATTGAAGTTTTCGCCTCTTGTTTTGAAACATGGGACTTCTTGTGTCGCGATATGGAATCATATTTTTAAATAAATAATTATATTTATGCTGTACTTTTGTATCGAGCACTATTTTTTTAAAATAATAACTAAAATACTAAGGGACTTTGGATTATTTACCTAACCAGTTCCTTCCTATTTTCTATATATTTTCACACACACACACACACACACACACACACACACACACATATATATACATATATATATATATATATGAAACAATACCTACAAGGTCGTCTTATGCGAGACATAACTCTCCAAAGTTCATTTATTATCTTCATCGTTTTATTGTATCTGTATTTATTGTATCTATCCAGGAAGTTTCGCCGGTTACTGCGTATTAGGAAGCGAGCAGTTGACCTACAAGATGGCTTCAAATCCATCAAGTGCAGAACTGGGCCTCGAGGG